CCCTGCCACACATTCTGTAAATGAAACGAGTGATTGGTGAGGTCTGCTTTGGAACAATTCTTTGCTTCACATGTGTTCCTTTTAAAATATAAACACTGTTTAATACAGTACTACAGTCTGAAACTCAACAGGGAAATCAAAGAGTGTCTCCTTCTGCCATAGGTTGCAAAGATAGTTACCGTCTGAGTTTGGTTCGGCATTTGCTTTGGAAAATTGATACAATTATCTTTTTATGGTCCTTAAACAATTCTAAAACACTGTGGTGGGATTTCATATTTCAGCTTAAGTAGTTATTTTTTCTCACTGTTTTTATGTGTTTTGACAGTCTAATTTTAACCAATTTCCTTTCTGGAGTCTTGATGGTAAATAGAGAATTAAGTTGTTCTCACTTTGTAATAAAGCAGCAAAGCTCTTAGAGCATGTTCTTCATTGCCTTCAATGCCCCTCAGACCAGAATATGACCTAGTTTGGCTTTGAGATGCTGATTTAATACATTGATTATCAGCTCTCACAAGTGTTAAGTTTCTCAGGCAATATTGCTTCTAAAGACACTGTCAGCTGCTAGTTAGTGTAGCTTTATTTTAATGCAATTCATTGTGCATAATATCACCTTAGAAGCATAACATTTCTGTTCTCTCCTCCTTTTCCATTACCTAGATCTTGGCTGTGCAGAGTGGGGGAGGGTTCTCTGTAATGTTAAGACTCCATTTTGTTTCCCTCCTTTATGCAACATCAGGATTCTTGATGAGGTTCACACCTCTGGAAACCACATGCTAAGCAGTTGCTGTTGCTGCAGGACCACTGAAACTGGGCAGGAGCCTTCCGTTGTATTTGGGTATCTCTAATACTAAGTGATGAACATACCTCTAGTTCTGATTTGTACCAGAAAATATACAAAGGACTCTCCATTGTGTTCAATCATAAATTTCAGCAATAAGTCTCCTAATCAACAAAGAGAGTCTGCTCCATTTTTAAGTTTCTTTATTAATGGGAAAGCATCTGAAATCCATTTATGCTGATGCTGCTCACAACTTTTGTTTATTACTTTTCTCTAGAATGGAGCAAGTCTTCCATCATTGGTCCAAAAACAATGTTAGAGTTTGTGATGATCCACAGTTGTTGTTTTTCAGGAAGCAAGTTAGCATTCAGTATTTCTACAGTTGTAAAGCTTTAAGACCCTGTCCCCTTTCAAGCACAAACTATTTATAATAAAGTTGCAATGTTCACTGTTTATTTATTTGGAATGGCATGGGTGTTTTTTGTATTGGATCTATGCTCATACTTGTTTGGAAGCATTCTTGTGATTATGAGTAGTGCTATGGATTTCCGAATAATTCCTGTACTCATCTAGTGAAGAAGAATGACCGAGGCAGTCCTAGCCTAGGGCATTTGGTTCTGCCATGAGGGCAGGGAACTGGACTTGATGTCTCAAGATCCCTCCCAGTTCTAGTGTTCTATGATTCTAAGACGGTGCAGTCTCTCTCACGGTGCATCCCTGTTAAGTAGGTGTTTGGTGTTAGTCCATTCTGGACAAATATCTGTAATGCATTTATGAATAGGTTCTCAGCACTTTCAGAAGATATAAAAGTAAAGTTAATGAACATGAGTCATCATCAGGTGGGATTGAACCTGGAATCTTAGGGACTAAAGCCATGAGCTTCTATCACATGAGCTAAAAGTCTCTGAGTGAGGCTGTAGAGCAGACTTCACTCTCCCTTCTCAATGATCTCAGTGCCTCTAGGTTACACAAAGAAAGGCCAGATCTACTGTAGCGGTGTTAAATTTAGATTAATTGAATAGTCAATGGGATTTCCATTGATTATTCAATTAACCCATAAGGATGCCTCCGCCTTTGAACAGTAGCAAAAGACCTACTGGGCTATTGCTACAGTTCAAAAATGGAAGCCCTGCAAAGAGCGTGGGGCTTCCTTTTGAAATGTACAACAGCCCCAGTGGAGCTCTTGTACATTTCAAAAGCAGAAGCCCCACAGAGAGCATGGGACCAGCCAGGGACTTCCACTGGCCCCACACTCCCTGCTGCGCCTGGGACTTGGAAATTTACAAGAGCCCAAGTAGGGCTCTTGTATATTTCAAAAGCAGAATCACAGCAGAAGCCGCAGGAGCGGAGACCGTTTCAGTCCCCAGTCACGCTGTTTCCTGCTGTGCCTCTACCTCCCCTGCCCCCTGCGGAGATGGTGCTGGGGGGAACCGGCTTTTAAACCAGCTTCTACTCACCCCTCCACCCCCTGTTGCTGCCTTTCTCTGATAGAGGCAGCAAGGCGAGGGGAAGCAATCACTCACATCACTAGTTGACTATCCAATAAGCTTCTGCTTATCAGATGGTCAACTGGTCTCTTACATCCCTAGTCAATACTACAAATATCCACTGGCATAGCTATGCCAGTCGGGTGTGGAGAGGTGTGACCTCTGTCCCAATGCAGCTGTGCCACTTGATTTTTGCTGGTATAGCGTATTATGCTTGTGGGGGTGGAATAAGCTATATAGGTTGAATCTCTCTAATCTAGCACCCTGGGACCTGACTTGGTACCAAGCCAGAGAATTTGCTGAACCACAGGAGATCAATATTGTCTAGCAGAATTACCAACACTTCCACTGCTTACTGGGCTCTTAGAAGACATCTAGGAGTAAATTGGAGCTAAATAACAGCACAGAACACAGAGCCAGGACTGGTGGTTGTAAGCAACCTTTATGGAACTGTGGGAAACTTGGCCAAACCCATGATAGGCAAACATCCAGCTAACTGACTCATGCCAGACCATGGATGTTGCTGGAACAGAGAGTGCTGGTCTAAAGAATTTCAAACAATCCCAGTAAAAGTGCAGTTTTGCCAATCTAAGTTGTGTCCATTTGCTAGGAGATTTTTGCTTTGTACAGTATTCCGATATAACTATACTGGCAAAATGCTCTGAGACCTGGCTTGTAACAGTTCTGCTCCATGGAATTCATGACTACACCGTTGCTTCTCAATCAACAGGAATTTCTATGGTGGGGAACTTTTTAACCTCTTAGGTTGTATTGGAGTGCCTTGATTTGAAAACTGACAACTGGTTTTAAAATCTTCGACCCTGTCTGTGCTACTGCATTACTTCAGAAATCTCACTCTTTATTTTTCATGATAAAAAGTAACAGAGAGGTAGCCGTGTTAGTCTGATCATGGTAAAAAAAAAAAATACTTTATTTTTCATGGGTCCTACTAAATAACACTGTGTGGTAGTAATTATTTAATACTTGTGATACTTATGCACAAAGACAGGTAAGGAAAACTGAAGCTCTGTAATAAGTGGGGGTTATTAAAGAGCATGCACCATGCAAAAAAAACTAAAAATTACAGACTTAGTGAGGAAGGTCATATGTGTATTTTCAAATCTCGACAATAAGAATTAAAAATTCAACTCTCTCTCCCCCAGGTACAGTTTGCCCATTTAGGATAAATCTGA